ACTACTACTATATATATATATATATATATATATATATATATAGCTATATTTATATGGATATTAACTACGCTAACGTTTTCTTCGTCATCGCTGCCTGGGCGTGTGTTGGTGTGCTGTTCTTGTTCTGTTCCCACTCATCTTCCTCATAATTGTTGTTGCCCCATTTATAGCACATTTCTGGCGCCGCTTCATTTCTCTTGTTTCATTTTTTCTTTCCATCTTGGAGTGTTGCACCTTCTCTTTGTTGTTGTTTGTTTGCGTGTTTGAAGCTGCGGCGTTTCCGACTTCCGCAATTGCACCGCGTTGCCGCAGCCCCTTTTTGTTTCTCTCTCTCCCTCTTTAACTGTGTTACCGCCACTCATGTAGCTGCGGAGAGACGATTTGTGTCTTTTCTTGCCTTTGGTTTGTACCCTGACGATTCCTCTTCCCTCCTCCTCATGACTTCTCCGCTCTGCACGCATGAGAGTTCTTAACGCAGAGATCAAAAACAGAGAAACAAATATCACCCCTGTGCCGTATGGTGTCTGGCACTAGGCGGGGCTCCAGCAACTTGTCCTTTGGAGGACTGACAGACGAGAAAAGTCCGCTCATCTCACCACTTCACAGTTAGGTCTCCACAAGACACACAAGACGTTGTGATTATTTCTCCTGTTTCGCCCCCTTTTTCGGCGGCAAGGCGGGCGTGGTTATTAAATATTTGGGCTTGGCAGAACCGTATGAAGCGGCGAACGTCGCATTCAGCTTTCCTCTCCTCGCCTCTTTCTCTCGCCTCTATTCCTTCGGTGTTTGACCACCATCGCCTCCACTCGAGCTCTTTAACAGCGTGTAAGCTTTCTTGGTTTATCGACGAGCGTTGGCATCGGCACGCGCTGGGCTCTTGAAATATACGTAAAAGGAAACAGAATAAAAAACACGGTTCATTAACCTTAAAAGGAAAAGGAAAGGGAAATAGAAGAGGCGTCTCATCTCTGGTGAGTCATGTTCGTCGTCAGCGTGGCTTTACGAAGCTGCGCACGCCAGCCAACTCGACTCTTGACATTGGCGACTTCAGTCGCTGCCTGCTGTCGTGGCGAGCCGCGTATTCTGCTGCGTGTGTCCACACCAGCCACTCTCTTGCGGACGACGTCGAGCGAACTGTTCATCGATGGCGCCGCGGGCTCTTTAACCACGTCCCGACGATTTGGCTCAGGCGTGGCGCAGAAGTCCAGTGCTGGCCGAGGCAGAGGTAGAGAGAGAGGGAGAGAGAGAGGTAACGCAGCCACCCGCATCACTGCTGCAACGTCGGCAGTCGATGCGCAGCGTGCCGCGCATGCGGAGAAGGATGATAAAGGAGGAGAACCATTTCTCCACCGTGCAGGGGAGGATGACGATAACGGCGAAGACGAAACGGCGCTTGTCTCTCCCATGACAAAGCGGATTGGCCGGGGTGGGTCCAACAGGCGCGGTGGTCTTATGGGCGAGGACGACAACGCAGAAGATGAACTGGAGGGTGTGGAGACCCCCACAGAGGATCCGACGGCGCCGGCGCACGACGAGGACGATGCCGAGGTGTCCCGCCGTTACCGCCACCACGGCGGCGAAGATGAGGAGGACGAAACTCGTGTGGACGGTGCGGAGGAGACAGAGAACACCAAGGGTGCGGTGGCGAATCTGGCGCTGGAGGGGAAGGACGACGAACCGGGGCGGAAGCGCAGCGCATCAGCAGCTGCACGCAGACGCGCCGGCCAAGGCAACGCAGGCGAAGATGGAGATGCAGAGGAGGACGAGGAGGACACGGCGACGTCGTCGACTTCGAACGCCGTCGGCGGGGAAACGACAGCGTTGGACACGTCCCCCCACGATGAAGAGGTGGCGAACAAGTATCTGTCCGTCGCCTTCCCCGATCTCGCAGCGGAGTACACGGCGGCCGGCCCGCAATCCAACAAGGTGCCGGTAGAAGAGGTGCGCATCGACTCCGCGGAGGTCGCCGCGTGGCGCTGCCCGGTCTGTGCGAAGACGTGGTCGTGTGGGGTTTTCGTGCGGTGCATTTTGAAGAACGGCTGCCCGCACTGCGCGGCGGAGCACCGCACCACCATGTCCACCGTACGCCCAGACCTGCTGCAGCTCTGGGACTACAACCGCAACAATCCCTTCTTAAAGCCGGAGGAGATCGCGGCGGACAGCAGGGAGGTGGCATACTGGACCTGCCCTACGTGCCGGGAGACCTACACGGCGCGGGTGCGGGACCGGGTGCAGGACAAGACGCAGTGCCCGTCGTGTGCGTTGCTGCGTTCCACCTCGGCTGACGCGGCCGGCTCCGCGGCGAGTGCTTTGCAGCTGGAGTGGCACCCGCTCAAGAACGGTGATCTGCGCATTGACCAGCTGGCACCGACGGACCGCAAAACGAAGGTGTGGTGGCTCTGTGGGTCGTGTGGACACGAGTGGGAGGCGTCGCTGGGGACGCGGCTGTCGCACTCGCCCCGCAGCCGGGGCAGGAACTGTCCTGCGTGCCATGGGAAGGCGACGGCGGAGATCCTTTAACGGGGGCTGGCAGAGGTTTTCTTCGTGTTGGCCATCTCACATCTGCAGATGACACCGCGAGCTGGGCACGGCAAGATTCATGGTTTCTTCTTCACCCCGCCCCCTTTTTTTTTCCACAGAGATTGACGAATAATACCGTTCTATAATCGTGAGAGAGACAGAACTGTGGTACGTGCGACGGCGTGCTGAGATGGAGGGATGGGGGAGGCGGTCCGGTGAATGCGTGTGTGGTGCGCGCAGTCTGCGTCGTCACAGCCCAGTACGTTAAAGAAGGAAGAAGCACTGCTTCTAACGTGTGGGCCTTAACAAAAACAGATTTCTATGATGCACTGCTCCACGGATCAACACGTAGAATAAAAAAAGAAAAAGGGATGCGTTGTAGCTTTCATTTCCTCCTTTGTTTCGCTGCTCGTACAGGAACTATCATACTGCATGCATCCCGGCGTGTATGCTATATATATATATATCTCTTTCCCCTTCTCTCCCCCGATGCCTCATCTTGCTACTCAAGACGTTCTTTGCCTCCTTTCCTCTTCTTCCTTTTCACTTATGGGGTGTGCGTCCTCCCCGTCACCCTGCCCATAGCAAAGGAGCGTTACATCCGCAGCTCCCTCCACCAGCGATACATATATATTTAAGGGAGTATCTTGTTGCCTTGTGCATGAAGACCACATCTCCTGTTTTCTTCGCCGCTTCCGGGGCACACATGTGCGAGGAGCTCGTCTCCTCTTGCGGCTCCGCGGCGAACCCTTACCGCAGATCCATGATGCGTCTGCTCGAGTACGTCGGGCTGCAGCACTACGGCACCCCGCAGGCGACCGTGCCGCCACGCACGACGGCCGAAGACGACGCCATCGCGCAGCACCTGGAGGCGGTAAAGGAGGCCACGGCCCGCCATGAGGCGAGCGTGCGACAGCGCAACATCCGCATTAACAAACGTAAGCCGACGAGTGCGCTTGTCGACATCCTCGCCTCCGCCGCCACGGCCACGGCCACCACCACTGGCCAGGGGGCATCAGAGCGCAGCGCTTCCGGCATGAATGCATCGACGTCGTCGAGGCAGCCGCCGACCATTTATTTGAGCTTTGAGGACTCCGCCGAGTGGAAGGCCTTCTTAGCGAGCATCACCCCAGAGGATCGGCTCGCCGTGACAGTGCGGCGTCGGCTGACGGTAGAGCTGTGGCGGGCCCATCGACGGGACATCTGCCTGTGGTGCTGGTTTCCACGAAACATGTGCGTGTGTGCGCAGCTCGACGCCTACAGGGCGGCCATGCCAGCCCACGTCTTGGATGCCCACGTCGAGGTGACGATGCTGCTGCACAGTGAGGAGGTGATGCGGAGCACCAACTCGGGCCACATCGCCGCCTACCTCCTCGGTGCGCCGATACGAGTGTGGGGGATGGACGCGGACGACTTCTACCTGCGTGCGTTGGAGCCCTGCTGCGTCCGACGTAGTAGCGAAGGCGGAGACGAAGAGGCGGCAAACAGTGTCGCGTTGTCTCCTCTGGCGCAGCCGTTGTCCCGCTCTGCAGAAGGCGTCGGCTCGCCTGTGGTGGTGTACAACGTCTCGCTGTACCCGTCTGCGGAGTCCACTAGGATGGACGAGTTTATCCGAAGGAAGCAACTCGGGCTGACGCCGTCGGAGGTGCACGACGACATCGAGGAAAACAAGATGGTCGAAAGAAGCGGAGACGTTGATGAGGCAGAGCCTTTGAAGTTCGAAGAAGACAGCGGGTGTGTGGCACCGAGCTATGCAGCCAATTCGGAAACAGCGTATGATGATGGTCATGGCGATGCGACGGTGCAACGCGCAGCGCACAAGAAGATGCATCTCATTCTGTTAGACAGCACTTGGGGGCAGGCCCTCTCCCTGAACCGTAAGCTGAGCAAGTTCATCCCGCGTGTGCGGTTGGAGATCCCGGACAGCTACGAGTCGCTCTTTCAGGCGTTACGCAAGCGCACCCGCGAGAGCGGCGTCAGCACCCTGGAGGCGACGAGCATGGCGGTGGAGCAATGCATACGTGTCATGGGCTACACTGATGAGGCTGCCCAGACGTCGTCGACGCTGACGGCGGCAATGAAGAACTTTGTGGACGCCCGCTGCCTGCTGAAGTACGCTGAGGCGCAGTTTACGACCGACGGCGCGGTGCTCGACGCCTTCCGCGACAAGCGGGACGATGCCCGCCGCGACGACGCCGCACGTCGACAAGTTGTCCTCTCCGATAAGATGCAGCACGATGCAGAGGCGCGACGTCTGCGGCTGCCACCTGTGCTGAACTACTGCTACTGCTGCGACTGCGTCATTGGGTGGCACCGGATGCCGGAGCACGTGATAGGGCGCAACCACCGCACTGCACTGCAGCTCAATCCAACGTGCGCGCCGTCGCCGGCCTCGCGGGTGGTGGCGGTGCCGGACTTCGCGCGTCCAACCCGTGCGGAGCGGGCGGCGGAGTGGCGGAGCAGGACGAGTGATGAGGCGCCGACTGTGGCGCCGCTGAAACTGCGTAAGTAAATTTCGCGTATCGTTGTTCACCAGCACGACTTGCCTCCCTCGTAAAAAAAGAGCCATTAAAAAAAAACAAGAAACACACATGCAAACACACACGCACACGCACACGCACACATACAAAAAAGGGCAGCATATCAAGGCACTATCATCAAGCTGACTAACAGTCAATTCTGCTACGCTTTGTTTTTTTCTGGTTGTTGCTGCTTTTCTTGAGTTCTCGTGTTGAATGGGCGGCAGACACCCGCAAGTGTTGTTCCGTTGTGAGTTCGTTGTGTTGTCCTCCGCTCACTCCCTCTTCCTCCCGCCTTCACGAGCGTCTTGCCATGAGAATTCTAGTTTCATACGAAGAAGAATCCCATACAGTTCGAAGAGTGTCCTCACAGAAGACAGAAGAAAAAAAAAGCAGAGGCGTAGCAAGTGCGCATTGTTATTTCATCTATACAACCTCATACAGAAGTCAACAACCAAAAAAAAAAATGGATGAGACGTACGACGCGATTGTGTGTGGCACGGGCCTGGTGGAGTGCGTGCTGTCGGGCCTGCTCTCTGTGAACGGCTACAAGGTGCTGCACGTGGACCGCAACCCGTACTACGGCGGCGAGAGCGCCTCGCTGAACCTGGAGCAGCTGTACCAAAAATTCGACAAGGGCACCCCGCCAGCTTCGCTTGGTCGCAGCCACCTGTACTGCGTCGATCTCATCCCTAAGGTGCTCATGTGCGCCGGCGAGCTCGTGAAGATCCTGCGCGCTACCGTGGTAGACCGCTACAGCATGGAGTTCATGCTGCTCGACTGCTCCTTTGTGATGAAGGATGGCAAAGTTGCGAAGGTGCCGTCGACCGAGATGGAGGCGCTCTCGTCCTCGCTGATGGGCTTCTTCGAGAAGCGCCGTCTTGGCAAGTTTCTGCAGTACGTCTCCGACTACGACGAGAGGGACAGCCGCACCTACAAGGGGCACAACCTGCGGGTGATGACGGCTGCGCAGCTCTTTAGTGAGTTCGGGCTGGGCAGCGACACTATCACCTTTGTCGGCCACGCCATCGCACTGCAGAGCAACGACGACTACCTGCAGAAGCCCGCGCTGGAGACGGTGCTGCGCAGCAAACTTTACCGCGACTCCTTTCTCATGTACAGCCGCTCCCCCTACGTATACCCGCTCTACGGCAGCGGTGAGCTGCCCCAGGCCTTCTCGCGCCTCTCCGCCGTGTACGGCGGCACGTACATGCTGCAGACCCCCGTCGACAAGGTCAACTTCGACGCCAACGGCGTCTTTGAGTCCATCGAGAGCGGCGGCAAGAAGGCGTATGCGAAGATGGTGGTGGGCGACCCCTCCTACTTCCCGGACCGCGTCAAGCCGTGCGGGAAGGTGGTCCGCTGCATTGCGGTTATGGATCACCCCATCCCCAACCTGAAGCCGGCCGCCAACGCGTGTCAGATCATCATCCCTCAGTCGGAGCTGAAGCGCAAGAACGACGTGTACATCCTGCAGCTGTGCGAGGAGGACAAGGTGTGCCCGGAGGGGAAGTACATCGTCATCATCGGCACCGTCGTGGAGAACTTCGCGAACCCTAAGGCGGACCTCGCCGCGGGTCTCAAGCTGATTGGCCCCACGCTCGAGACCTTCGTGTCGGTGTCGGACCTGTATCAGCCGTTAGAGGACGGCAGCACCAGCCGCTGCTACATCAGCAAGAGCTACGACGCCGCCACGCACTTCGAGAGCGCCGCGGCGGATGTCCTTGACCTGTACGAACGCATTTCCGGCCAGCCGTACAGCTTCGAATCCATCAAGCGCCGTGATGAGGAAGTGAACGCGTAACCGCAAGAAGAAACGGAAAAGAAAAAAGAGGTGGAGGGAAAGAAGGGGAAGGTGCGAGGTGAAGGAAACCTATAGTCGAAGGGTGGGAAGCGAAGGTGTGACTCACGCATGTCGAGCCCACAGTAGGCACGCACGTGAAAACAAACAGTAACGAAAGGACGGCAGCCGAATCTGTTCCCGAGGCTGCTCCCCTCCCCCATGTGCATCTGAGACACCGAGAGAAACTGCTTCTCGAGACACATAACTGGCCCCCCCCCCCTTCCCCCAACCGCAAGAGAAATGAAAAACCACGAGCCTTTTCTTTTACATGCATGCGCCTTTTCTTCTTCTTTTTATTTATGCGCGTTGGATCTTTTACGTCTTTTTCCCTTTCGACGTTGACTCCCTCTCTCCGTTTTCATCTCTCTCCCTTCGAACTGCGTCTATTCCGTCTTTCTTTGGGTTTCAACCTTTCAGTTCGATGATGTGCTTGTGCTTGTAACTCTACCGTTGTCTTTTCTCCGTCCATTATTTTGTTTCCTCCGTGATGTTCTTTTCGGGAAGATGACGGAGATACATCAACGATAGTGTCTTACTCCTATACATTTTAAAATAAAAAAGATGTGTTTCTGCACAGAAGCCTGTGTGTGCTTGTGTGTGCAGCTGCCTGCGGGAGTGTACGTAACACGCTGTCTGCGATGCGTTGCTTTTCTCCTCTACTTTTTCCTGTTTTCCTCATTTTGTTGATCTCTGAGTGTTTTAGAAGGATTTATGATCGACTTGAAGCGCTGCCGCATCGCATTCTCAATCATAGCGAGAAAAGAGAAAAAGAAGAAGAACGAGTTCAATTAATGCCAAGAAGGCGTACCAACGTACAAACCCTCACTGTAGAAAACGAAGGGGGGGGGGTGTAGGAGGATTGGTTTTACCTCTCGTCTCGTGCGCCACTCAATGCTGACGCGTGCGAATGGACGATCTCGCATTCCCGGTCAGTTTCGATACTCAGCCAGCGGGTTTTTTTTTCCTCCGTGACTGATGTCTGGCTCATTCGGAATTCCCCCTCCTTTTTTTTGGTGTGTGTGTGTGTGTGTTATTGTAGCCCTTTCCGGTAACGTACATGCTGCTCTCGTGTTTACTGCGAACCAAGGGTGAGGGACAATAAACACCAACAGCAACGAAACGCCTGTACTTTTGCTGCTGCGACCTTCCCTTCTACTCCTGTATAAAAAACCAACCCCTTTCCTTTCCCTATCCACCTCTTTCAAGAAGCAAGATCCATAATTGTATTTCCCACGCTCACAACTGCTGCTTTTCTGCACGTCCAACCCACAAGTGAACTGAACAGCAGCAGTTGAACGCTGACGTGCTGTGCGGCATCGCGTTGCTGCTCCTCTCCCTCCCTCTCTCACCACATCTATTTCATCCCCTCAGTTATTCAGTTCTCTTCTGCCTCTTTCTCTTCTTCACTTTCTCTTTCCCCCTAACTGTGTTTACGTCTTTTTGAGACCTCCTTTCCTCCACACACGCTCTCTCTCTCTCCACTTCACTTTTACGGCTGCTCTTTCCTGCACAGAGCAGGGAAGAGGAAAACAAAAAGATTGCGCGCCACAAGCAACGCTTTGGTTTTGTTTTCTTTTCCTGAGAAGGAATGAAAAGCGTAGGAGCTTTTTATGTAGTCTTCTACAAGTTCCCGTTTTTGTTTTTTTGCTCTTCTTGCTTATTGCGGTGAAGTGTTGTTGAGCTTTGTTTATTTAGTTCATCACGGACGACAAGTTCGAATATCGTGTGTGCGTGTTTTAGCCCTTTTCGTTTTCCTTGTCGGCTTTTCTTTTTTGTAGTCTTTGTCTTCCGTCATTTCTAAAGCTCCCTCCTCCTTCCTTTTTTTTTTCTAAGACCCTTTCTACTCTCTCTTCTTTTCTCTTATGAGAGTGCTACTGTTGGCCCAATTTGTATGACTCGTAGCCTTCATTGCGGAGATTTACTTCATCGTCGTGTGTGAGCGCGCGCGTGTGTGTGTGGATACCTTCTTCTTCTCTCTTTCTCTGTTTGGGGTAGAGGTGCGTTTTACCTTCCCGCTTTCAAGGAAAAAAAACATTTTGCCGCATCGTAGGCTTTTCTATAGTACATAAACTGCTGATCTTACATCTGAGTGTTTTCTTTTTTTTAGTCCTCTCCTCTTTTTTGCTGTTGTTGTTTTTGTCTCTTCTCTTCGGTGCTGCCGTTGTCGTCTACTTGACGCGCGCCCAGTCGTCGTTTGCAGAGTGAGTTAGTCAGTTTATTGCTCAGGTGACGTCTTCTGTGCGGTCGAAAGGATCCGCGAAGAGGCGACACTGGATCGCATAGTCCAGAGCCAAAGAGCGCTCTTTTTCTGTGTGTGTGTGTGTGCGCGCTTCTTCTTCTTCTTCTTTTTTGCTGTTTTGCTTGTGAGGGACTTCACTCGTGCGTTCCACTGCTGACAGGGAACGCCACGGCTTGTTTACTGTTGCTCCCTTTGCTCAGCTCTCTGCCGTGCTGCTTCATTTATTAACTCCTGCTACTGTCGTTATTTGTTGACTTTTTTTTTGGCCTTTTTGTGTTCTCTGGCGTTCGCATTCGCAAGACCTCTTGTGGGCTTTCCGTTGTTATCTTCGCTCATCTGGTTTCGCCGACTCCTTCGCTCCCTCTCTTGTTTATAATATATTTAAGTATACATCTTCGGAGAGTACGGCGAGAGCGGCACCCTCCTGAAATTCAAAAGAAAAGAGCACTGTTGATCCTGCAGGCACCAAACGAAAGAGGTGAAGGCGAAAGCGGCAGCTACAAAATCAAAAGAGAAGAAAACGGCAACAACAACACGAAGTTCATGCAGACGGAGGTGCGGCACGGGAGCGTGAAAGGTCTCAGTGACCTCCGAAAAGCGCACGCCTCCCCTGCGAGCAACGACATCCAGCGGCGGCCTTATTTCCCCGCAAAAGCCAAAGACGGCGACGGCGACGGCGCGGCCTTTGCCCGTCACGAACCTTCCGTTGGGTCCGCCCCCACTGCCATCCCACCACAGCAGCCACCACCGCAACCACAGCGACCTCCAGCGGGGACCGGCACCCCTGCCACGACCAACGGTATGACGGCACCAGCAGGAGGAGCAGCAGCAGGAGTAGGAGTAGGAGCAGACGACAGCAGTGGATTAACGACGGTGGAAGGCACCGGATGCACGTACGTCCTGCGCGACGAAATTGGTCGGGGCGCCTACGGTAAGGTGTACCTGGCGGATGTCATTCATACTGATCCGATGCAATCCCCGCAGCCCGTGCCGCCCCCGCCGTCGTCGACGCAGCTGCCAAGTCTGTGGCGCTCGACCGGCGGCGGGCTGGTGGAGAAGGCGATCAAAAACACGACGATATCCACCACCAACACGAATGGGAGTAGCAGTGGGGCGAGCAACGGGCACCGCGATAGCTGCAGCAGCAGCGGCACAAACACAGCGGGGCAGATGGTGCTGAAGCGGATGGAGAACGTGAGCGTCGAGGACGGGCTGCAGGCCGCTACGCTGCGCGAGTTTATGGTGCTCGACGAGATCAGCATGGGTTCCTTTGATCGGGAGCACGCCGAGGTGGAGGCGTTTCGCGCTGGGCGGGTGGTCTTCCGCACCAGTTCCACCACCTCCGCCGCTGCACGTCCGCACGAGGGCAGCGCCTGCTCCTTCCTCGGCAACAGCAATACGGTGAACACAAACGGCAGGTGGGATGACGAGGTGCTGGCCACCTCCACCTCCCGCAACGACGACTACGACTACCTCTCCTCCCCGCTGCGGCGTCGCATCAATCGCGGGCGTAGCTACCTCATCGGCATGCGTGACACCATCATGCGACCGCAGGAGCAACTCGCCTACGTGGCCTTGGACTACTGCGATGGCGGGGATCTTTGGCACTTCATTCACGATCTGAAGGTGACGCTGAAGACATCAGACCGCCAGTTTGGCGACGCGATGCCGACGAAGGTCTTCCGCCGATGGGCCGTGGAACTTATTTTAGGGCTCGCCTTTCTTCACTCTCGCAACATCTCCCACCGCGATCTAAAACCGCAGAACTTGATGCTGGCGAGGCGGACGGACATCCCGGTTGTGCCGGCGCCGCGACCAGCGCTGGACTCGGGGCGGGAAGACGAAGACGAGGGGGAGGGCAAGTCGCAGCTGCCGCCCGGCGAGCAGTACAACCTGAAGGTGGGCGACTTCGGTCTCTCCCGATTAGAGGATATCCCCTATAAGAAGTACCTGCACGAGGCCGTGACGCTGTGGTACCGCAGTCCTGATGTGCTGTTGGGCAACACCAACTACCACTTCTCCGCTGACGCGTGGTCGCTGGGCTGCATCTTGGTGGAAATGGCGTCCGGCAGCGTTCTCTTCAAAGGCCGCGATGAAGCCGACGAGCTTCGGCACATCTTCACGCGTGGCTGCCGGCCGTCGTTGTTCAACTTTCCGCGGTTAACGGAGTACCCCTACGCGGAGCGCTTTGCGGAGGTGCTGCAGAAATACCGCGACGTCGACGGCGAGGCGAAGGCGACCGCCGACGGCGTCGATGCGGAGGCGGCGCTGCAGGCCCACGTGGAGAAGCTGGCGCGTCACCTGCGCGCTTTCTTAAAGGAGCGCAATGCGCAGAACCTTTTAGGGACAACGGGAATCGATTTAGTAGCCCGACTTTTGGTGTTTGATCCGGAGCGGCGCTTTACGGTGCTCCAAGTGGTGCGCCATCGCTTTTTTCAAGAGGCGTACGCGGAGGTGTACGGGCCGGATTGACGCCCCCAAAGGCTGCTCAGAAGGAGCGCAAGCAAAACAACAACAAAAGCAGTAGATAATGCCGCAATACCGGAGACCTGCAACTTTTTCTTTGCGGCGCACGTGGGTACAACGTCTGGGGCGCTCTCCGTTCTCATTTTTACTTTCTTTCATTGTTTATGTGTCGTTTTTCTTTTTCTCTTTTTCAAAGTTGTGCGGAACAGTAAACAAAGAAAAGCCCTGCATATATACCTATCTATGTGTGTGTGTGTGTGTGTGCTGTGTTGTGTTCGGTGTTCTGCATTTTTTTTCCTGCTGCCCTCTTTCCACGTGCTCGCCTTTGTTGTTGCTGCTCTTCTTCTTGTTTCCGTGACGATTGCTGAAGTTTCCGAGTGCTTGCGTAAACACCGCCGACAAACACGGACTCCAGTTTTCTTCCCCCTTCTTCTCCCGCTATTATGAAGAAAATTAGCGGTTTCCAGAGGGAGGGAGAGAGAGGGGATGGGCAGGAGCGACTTCACAATTTCCGTTGCATCCACACATCCCTTTTTTGTTTTTTGGAAGGAGGGCCATGCAAATACACGGGTATGAATGGAAACGCGAGCCAAGAGTTGGAAAGGGAGGGAAAGAGGAATCCGGCAGACTCTCCGCTTTGTACAATCAGTGTTTTTACTTTTTGTTGTTAAGGATCCGCGTGAACCTTTCCACTTATTTATGTGTATGATGCGCGACGGCAATGAATTGTATGTCACTGAGCAGCGCGACACTCTCCTCCCAACTATCTTTTTTTTTTCACTTGATTATTGTTTGTTTGAGGAGTTTCCGCCTCTGACTCTGTGTGGTGGTGTCTCAGCTGTAGCTGCGAGCTTTTCATTGTGGAGCATCGATTGGCGTTATGAGCGGTAAAAAGAAAAAGAGAGGAGAGAAAGGAAAGATACAAAGGAGCGGGAAGATCGGTAACGAAGAAGGGAAAATGCTCTCCATAGCTTGCATCTAAGCTGGGACGCCTCGTTTATGGTACTACAGCGACCTTTTTTTGTTTGTTTGTTGTCGTTGTAATTCTCTTCCCCTTCGCTTTTTAGCTGTCTTTTTTTTGCGTTGCTCTTCTTCGTTTTTTTTTTCCTGTGTGGTTCAGCCATGTATCAACTCCCTCGTTGACTGTTGTACAGTTAGCCTTTTACTGTTTCCTGCATTCCATTGGTGGAAGTGCCAATGCATCTCAGACCTTTGCTCTTTCTTCGTCTCAGGGACCATCCTTATTCGATTCCTATTTACGTTGTTGGTGGGGAAGGTTGTCGTTGCCGCCGTTGTCGCGTACCCGCCCCTCGGTGTTTTCTCACTGTATCTTTTGTATTGGTCCGTCTTCGGACTTCTTTTCTGTTGTTGTTATCTTTGCGCTAGACGTCCACATTTGCCGCCCTCCGCACCTCTTCGTTCTTTTTATGTTCCTCCCCTCTCCTTTTTTCCCTCAAAAAAAGGAGCAGCGAAACGTGGCAAACGTGCTCACCCATGCACCGTCATTCAAACGAAGAGGAGGGGAGAGAGCGAGCGTGCGAGCGAGAGACAGAGACAGAAGGTGGAGCGGATTTCTTCTTTCCTGTTTTTGCTGTTCTCTCTCTTGTCTTGAACGTTTTTTTTTTTACCACTCTTTTTGGTTTTGCTTCCACCGAACATCGATCATGCACGGATGTACTTAGATGTTCTGTCCTTCGCCCTTTTATTTATTTATTTTTGTTGTTCCTTGTCCAACACCGACTGCGCTGCTGGTGTTCATCTCAGCAAGAAAGACACACACACACACACACACCCGTCGAATCTCTGGCCGTTACTCGCGGCGGATTCTCCACTGTGGAAAAAGGAAAAAGAAGCGTACGAGCCAGTCAGAGGGAAACCTATGAAAGGGAGTGTAACGTAACCGTCGAGCCGAGGAACACACACATTCAACATCAAGAACTCATCGTGTAGCCCTACTCGCATCCCTTTGGCCTGTTCAAGTCGTCTCTTCTTGATGCCCTTTTTTTTGTTTCTAACACTCGAAGCTGTGGCGTGCTTCTAGAACTTGAGAAGAGGTTGGGTGTGTTTCTTACGGACACGTACGGGGAGCAGTGCCTGGTGGTTGTTGTGTTACCTACTTAGTTTGTCGCGGAGAAGTGCACACACCCACACACACACACACCAAAAACTGGCGTTGTGCTCATCCTCTGTCAAGTGCGATCGACCCCTTAGATGGAATCCGTTTCCATTCTTCATCCCATTCTTTTTGACTGCCTTCTCTCTCTCTCCCATACACATAAACGCACATACAACACAAACAAAACCCACTCGTTGGACTTATACTCTAGAAATTCTGATTTTTGCGATCATATCTTCCTTACGTGTGCCAGCCCACATCGTTCTTCTTCTTTTTTTGGTTTGTGTGTCTCCGTCAAATACTATTATTTTTTTTTGATTTCCTTCTTTATAACTCTACTCTGCAGGGCCTTTCTGTCGCTACTTACCAGCTGCTCTCCTGGAATACCACTACGCCTTCTACGCGCGAGCGCACAGCGGCCACGGTCCGAACATATTTTTTTTTTTGCAGCAACACGACGAACAACAGCAGCGGCAGCGAAAATGGCTTGCTTTCGTTTAACCGTGATTGTGGTGATGATTGTGGCCGCCATCGTCGCCTTTTTTGGCTACGTCGATCAGCCGTCGAACTGGGTGTACGATCCGGCCCGGCTGCAGGCGATTGCGCAGGCGAGCATCGCCAACGCCAAGGCCGCCCACGGCGAGCTCGCGACGGCGAAGCAGATAACTGATGAAACGATCCGCCTGATGCTGGAGGCCTACCCCAAGACGACGCGGTACACGGGGCACTGGCTGTGGAACAACGCGGGCGGGGCGATGGGCAGCATGACGGTGCTGCACTGCTCCTTCTCCGAGTACATCATCATATTTGGCACGCCGGTCGGCACGGAAGGCCATACCGGCCGCTATTTCTGGGCCGAGGATTTCTTTAACATTCTGGTGGGCGAGCAGTGGGCGGCGCTGCCGGGTGCGGAGAAGAGGGAGGTCTACCGCCCTGGTGACCAACACTTCTTGCCGCGCGGCGTCGCGAAGCAGTACCGCATGCCGGATGAGTGCTGGGCCCTGGAGTACGCCCGTGGCAACATCGTCTCGATGCTCTTCTTTGGTTTTGCCGACATGTTGTCCTCGACCTTGGATGTGTTAACGACGTGGCACACTGTGGTGGAGAGCGCCGGCAACATGATCCCCAATCTTCTTGCGGGAAAGATTTAAATGGAGGGGCTGCTCCGCTGAAAAGCGAGAAAGGGAGTCTCCTCAAAAGATGCCAAAGAAACACGAGGAGGGAGGCTCGCTTGGTGTTTGCGCACTGCAGTCATAAAGCGCATTTCCACCACCAAAAAAAAAAACATCGAAGATCAACAACAGCCACAAAGACAAAAAGAAAAAGAAGGCGCTCGTTAAAATAATAAACGAGAATTGTCGTGTTTGGCGCGGAAGAGAAAAAACAAAAGCCAAAGAAGGCCCTTGAAGATCGCGAGTGTCGCCAGCACTGAAAGGAGAGAAAAATCAGCGGCACTAAACAACAAAACAAAAATGCATCAACCGTAGCTCGTCGCAATTACTCTTTCATTTCTTTCAAGACGCCGTTTCACCTTTTACGGTGTGCTGCGACATGAGCGGCAGTGTGGGAGCAACGGCAACAACGGAAGGCGCGCAGGTGCGTACGTGGTGTGCTTCCCGCGTTGTTTGACGGCGTTCCTGGCGCGCATGGGACGTGAACGTCATCGTAGCTAATGTATGTTATGTTTTTCACTATGAAGTGCCTTCCAAAACGAAAAGAGGCTATCTTCTTTCTTTTCTTTCAAGACAAGAGAAAAACTCACAGTTGCTTTTTTTTTTGGCTAATACGGCTTTGTGAAGGCGTTTTCCATCACAGCGCGGGGTTAAAACGCCCTTTTCTGAGATGCCGTAGCAGCACCCGACGCGAACTGCGGCGATGAAAGTGCAAGGCCTCTCGAAAAGAGAGATGCAACGATGAGCGCTTTCAGAAGACTATTCCTGTTGTGTCTCCGCTTCGTACCCTTATTCCCGGGTGTGTTCCCCTGCCTCAATCCTCCCCTCCCTCCCCATTGCTGCGGCACGTCCTCTCTTCTTGTTTGTTGTTATTCTTATTCTCTCGGTCGCCTCACATATTGCTCGGCAACGCAAGCACCATACGCAAACACTTACAGGTGTGCTTTGCTTAAGGCTACTTCTTTCTGTTACGTGTTTTTTTGTTCGACGAGTTCTCATTCAGTCCCCTCTTTTTTCCCCCTAATCCTTTTCTTTTCTTAACGGCTTCATCGATTCACCAAAGTTTCTTTTCTTTTCTTTGTCTTTCTGTCCGAAAGAGGCGTCGTGTGTATACGGCGTGTGCACGACACAGTTGAAAGCTCGTTTGCTTTTCTTCTTCGCATCACCTTCGAGCTCATTGGTTTCCTTGTTCTGCATCTTTGCCTCTCCTTCTTTTCTTTAGTGTTCACATAACACTCAGCTCAGACGTCGCATAGTTTCACATACGCGGTTTCCACTAACAGTTGATCGTATATATATTTTCCCTCTCGGCCTCCAGCAGAAATGGGCGTTTTGGTGCCCGAGCGGAGACGTTGCGGCCGTGTGGCGTCGCGACGCAGCAAATGTGTGGTGCCTTGCGCTTTGTTCTTCGTCTTTTCCATGCTTATGCTCTGGACAGCCACGGCGATAAGATTTGATGACATTCAGCTGGCCAATAAAAAAGATTCTCCCGAGGTGTGGACGAAGTCCGTCCAGGCGGTGGTGGCGCTTGAGATGGCCATCGAGGATGCGACGGTCCGTGAGAAGGTTCAACAGGCACTCAAAAAAACGAAGAAAGGATTTCAGTACTGTAGCCACAATGTCTACCATTGCGACGACACCGGCAACGCCGTTGACGTCATCATCGACGATTTGCAAGACGGACGCGTCAATTGGGATCGATTTCCAGCAACGGTGAAGCGCATCTTCGTGCGCAACTCCGTTCTGCGACAGACGTTGATCTTGTCCGAGCTGCCACGTCAGCTGGAGGTGTTTTCTGCTGTCAACACGTCGTGGAATTCCACGTCGCTGCTCCTACACCCCGGCAACGTGGTGGGCGAAAGTAGTGTGGCCCTCCTGACCTGCGGTCAGGACAGCGGCAAGAAGTGTGTGCATCACCTGCAAAAGTTGCAGTGCGAGAGCTGCGGCCTTACGGAGGCCAACCTCAGCAAGTCAGACCTGCTCTACCCAGAGCTGACCTCCATCAACTTCAATAACAACACCCTCGTCGGCTTCGACGTGCACACCGTACCCGCGACCGTGACATCGCTCCACATTTCGCACGTCCCTTTAGAAGGGCTCAGCGTGTTGGATGTGCTGAGCCGCTTGCCGAAGGCGACAACGGAGCTGAATCTCAGCTACACCGGCGTGCTGTTTCAGTGGGACACTCTGAAGAGCATAACGCTGCCTTTAACCGTGCTGGACCTCTCCGGGCTTACGTCGACTCCCTCGAGGAAAGGGCAGGACAACCCGGACATCACCGCCACAGAACCCCAGCCGATGAGCAGCTTCTGCGATGGCGCGTTGGGCAAAACCCTTGAAGCGGCGTACTTCGTCCACTCCGGGCTGAAAGGCGTCCTGCCCGGTCTCGCCGCCTGCACCCGCCTCACGGTGCTGGACTTATCGCATAATCAGCTCACACGGCTCCCCCTGGACCACCTGCCACCTGTGCTGCACGTTCTGCGTTTGAGCAACAACAGCTTCGAGGAAGAAATGAACGTGTCAAGCCTCCCACGGGGCTTGCTGTCGCTGGATGTGTCGTCGAACCGTTTCAGTGGCCCGTTCAAGATATCCGATCTGCCGCGGAGCCTCGCCTACTTCGACATCAGCCACAACGCTTTCACGGGGCATGTGAACTTGACGGAGCTACCGGAGACGGCGAAGTTTGTCTACCTGCAGTACAACAACTTCACCGGCGAGGCCGATCTTGTTGACATTCCGCTTGGGATTCGGTTCATCATGGTGCATCATAACAATTGGGACTACCGCTTACCAGCTCCCTAACGGGGATAGGAGGCGACGAACCAAGGATTGAAGATCCCCAATATTTTTCCTTCTAAACTTGCTGGTGGGATTACCTGTGTGTGGCAGAAGCTGTTACGATTTATCTGATATTGTTTTTAAAGCGCTGCCTCTATCTTTCTTTTCTTTGTTCATTGAGTCTGCGTACGTGAAGCACCGCAACAACAAAAGCAACAACAGCAGCAGCACCACAGAGCCCGCCGGCTGTTGATAACTTATTTCAGTTTTCTTCCTTTCATCATTGTTCAGGAGATTGAGTTGAGTTGCCTCTTCCTGGGTTTTTATGTTCTCTTTTTTTCTTCTATATGCGTGGTTGTTGTTTTTGATGAGCCAAAGCTAATCGTTGCCTTTTCTTCTCATCCTCTGGTGTGTGTTTTTCTTTTTCTTTTTCTAAACCTTTCACAAATGCTGATTATATGCGAAAACCATTTCTGATGCATTGCGTGCTCTTTCTTTTTGTAGAAGTCTCCGCAGGCGAAACATGTTAGTTGCCTGAAAGCTAAAATAAAGCAGTAAAGAAAGAAAGAAACGAAACGAAACGAAATCGGTTTGCGCCTTGCTGAGGAGACAAAGCGCGCCCTGCACCCTCTCCGCGTCGTTCCAGGCTGCGTGGTGTGTTTACCAGGCGAAGCGGGAGACCGGAAAAGAAAAAGGCCTTGAGAGAAATCAAGGCAGAAGATGGAGCGCGATTCAGAGTGTGTGGCTTGTCACAGATGTCTTGTTCTGTTGCTGCTGTCTGCCTTTCATTACAATCGAATCCCCCTCTCCCCTCCTTCCCCGCTTCCTTATCTCTGAGTGTGTTTTGCTTCTTATGATGGACCCGCGACAACTTGCTTTATGCGCTAATGGGCGTTGGGAAAGAACTTTTGTTTTTCTATTGTTTTGCGGGAAAGCAGATTTCGCTGTGTATACTGTGCATCCGATCGGTTCCGAGACCGTTGCCACCTGGGTGAAAAAAGGAAAAGAAAGGAGAAAAGTGGCGCAGCAGAGCAAAGTCTCCTTTGGCGTCACCATTACACACCACCTCTCTCTCTCTTCGTAGAGGAGGATAAAACAAGACGCTTGTTAGCACAATAACACCGCCTTTCAGCTCTCTGACGAGCGCCCTAACAGATTCAGAAACGCTCATAAAGGCAACCGTTAAAAAAAAAAAGAGCCGGATGGCGGATTACTCCAGCGACCGACAGCGCCAGGCGCGCCAGGCGTACGGCGATCCAGAGAAGTCGATCGAGATTCACGGGATGTCGTTAGAAACATTCAACCTTGACATTCGGAAGAACGGGGCGATGCGCAACCGTGCTCTCATTCTCTCCACCCTGGCCGGTCTGTGTGCGGCGGCCGGCGTTGTGGCCGTCGCCATTGGCGCACCGGACGCGCTACGCACCATGTGGAAGGTGCGAAACATGTCCAAAGTAGTTGTGTGGACTGTAGCGGGAGGGGTGTCGATTGCCTACGTCGTTACGAGCTCCTTTTCCTTCGAGCGACAGATCTACGACTTAGAGCTGAAGCGCGAAATTTGGGAAATCGAGAACCACCTCTCCGGCGAGCTGCAAGAGATGATCACCATCTACCGCAGCCTCGGGCTCTCCGAAGAGGAGGCGCTGATTGTCACCCGCATCTTCGCCAAGCAGAAGAAGTTCTTTGCCTATTTGATGATGGTGGAGGAGCTTGGCTACTCTCGCCTGGAGCCGCCGACCACGTCGGAGGCGCTGACGAACGCCGGTGTGCCTTCCGTGCTGGGTTTTGTGGTGGGCCTTGTCACCCCGCTCTTGCCGTTGATGGGCGTGCTGACGAGCGTGGCGAACGTTGGCCCAACAGGGCTGACCACCCATGCGAAACTGCTCAGTGCGGGGGTTTTCCTCGCGTGCAACGCACTGGTGAGTTACGCGCAGACGGAGATCTTCTTTGGCGCGTACGCGCATACGCCGGTGCTGATGCGCACGACGATCGCAAACGCGGTCGGCATCAGCAGCGTGTATGGACTGAGCTACATGGCCACCCGATACGTGTAAACGACGAGCACACCAAAGGGCATGTAGAGGAGGAAGCGCGAGAGGGAGGGTTCGAAAAGGACGGTGCTCGTTCTGTGGGGACGGCCTTTGAAGGCCTTCTCCGTTGTTTTTCTTTGCAACGTATGCGGTCCTGCTTCGTCAGGCTCCCCCAAAAAAACACTTAGACAACGTGGAAGCGAAGGGTGAAGAGGCGCGGAAACAACGCAAGCAGCAACAACACAATAGAGCTTCTATGGAGACACGATAGAGTGCCGGGGAGTTCTATACATGTTAGCTACCTTGTTCTTGTGTGTGATGTGTGTGATGTGTGTGTGTGTGTGTGCGCGCGAACGCCACTGTCGTCGTGGATCGATGTCCCTCTTCCATCTCTAAGACTTGGCGTAATTATTATTGCTGTCGGCGTCGCCTCAAAGCCAACACCGAAGTATGTATATCTACTTTTCTTTTATTTTTTCATTGCTAGGGCGTTGGGATGCGTTGAGTACGATGTACAACGATGCGACGCTTTTAGGCGTCTTTCAAGCATCGTTTAGTTTTTTTTTTTCAGGCTTTCTTGTTCTTTTCTCCTCCCTCCCCCTCCTCCTTCTCTGCTTCGTTTCATGTGAACGCTAATGTGGGTTCTCCTCTACGTGTTTAATTCCCGTGCACTCACGTTGTTCCTCTCCAAGAATACGTGTCTCTCTCGGTGTGTGTCTGTGTATGTCTGCATGAGTTTTCCCCACCAGTGCCTTTAACTATGTGGTATAACTGTTTGTGCCTCCGGTGTGTCTCTCTCTTAACGCTCTCTCTCTTTCTCTCTCTTGTTTTTTTTTGGTTTATTCTTTCACTGCTGCAACACTCTGCCTCTTTTCCTTTTCCGTTTGGCATCGCGGAGAGAGGACTTTATCGAGTTTGTTTAACGCCGTTTTTTTGTTCTCTCTCGATGGGCTTTTTTTTGCTTTGTCTTCACAACAAAGACGGCCCAAGAATAAATGTCCCTGCGCGCACCCGTGGCTGCTCTAAACACCCACACGCCCCCCCACACACACACCCATCCCCGCCCTTTCTTTTCTCTTGTTGTTTTGCGTATTTTGGAAACGAACAGGTGTGTGTGTTTGCCCTCGACTACGCTCTTTCGAGACACGTCATGGAAGAAGAAGCGTATTCGAATTTTTGTGGGCCCTTTTTTTTTCTCCACTCGGGCGTCTTTATTTGTTTTTTTTTTTTTTTGAACTGCTGGTCGTTAAGGAAGGGTTTATGATTCTGTTTTGGTGTTATCGCGCGATTGTGATCGCGGTGCGAGTCGTTGTGCGGTGCTTTTTGTTGTTGTTGCAGTGTGTCCCCCCATTTCGCGGTTGCCTGCGTGCTTGAGTGCGGTGACGGCAGTTTGTAGCACGTGTGTGTTGATTTGCACACTTTAACCGCTGCTTAAGAAGAAAGGAAAAAAGGAAAACAAAAATCGGTCGCGGACGTTCTCGCTCTCCTGCCTTTTCGACAGTGGGCGACCGATGTGGCGTTGCGTCTTCTATTCTCGTTGCGATCCCCTCCCTCCCCCCTCCCCTTCCTCCCCCTCTTGGTGCCGACCCCCTTTCGATGTCATCATGAAGGGCTGAAGCAGAAACCACCTGTGCTGACTCGTTAATAAACGCGTGAAAAAGAAACCGGTTTGGAGGGTTCCTTGTCGCGGTTGCGCTTCCACGTCGTCCACGTTGAGGCCTCACCCCTCGTCACCACGCTCTACGTCTACAGCAAGAATTCTCCTTTTCCTCCCCCCCCCCTCGCCTTTCTCGCTGCTTTCACATCATCATCAAACACGAAAGAAAAAGGGGTGCAATTGCAACCCTACTGGTTTGCTTTCTTTTTTCTTTTCTTTTCACTATCTCCTTCGTCCCAGTTACGCTTCCGCATCGTGTCCGGGTCGGTGCAGACGTCCACACATATAAACCGCCTCTGATCGTTTTGCAGCACTCCCCACTCCTGCTCCGTTGTTCAGTGCTCGGCGCGCAGGAAATTGACTTCGTTTATCCAATGAACACTCCCCCATGCAACTCTCGTGCGCTGTTGCGGCTCGCGGTGCTGCTCGCGTTCAGCGCGCTGCTCTGCACCACGCAGCACACCAACGCGAAGGGGATCCACGTCACGGTGGAGGCCTCGTGGAACGAAACCTCTTTTTTGCAGGAAGGGTGCGAGTGGGCCGGCCGCACGTTTGGCCCGACCGCCTTCTACAGCTGCGTGAATGCACTGTGGGACTATCACCTCCGACGTGGAAATGATCCCGTCGACGGTAACAGCGCAGCGAGCCACGAGGCGGTGAGCGCGCGCTACTCCACCCAGGAGGTGCAGTACACGGCCATCTGGGAGTTGGCACGGACGCTAACGGAGACGCAGATGGCTGACACGGCGCTCTTTGCGGTTGAGATGTCCTCTCGCGTGTACTCGCCGGCGGTGGAGGCGCATTACGCGACGGCGACGCAGACGCTGAGCGCAATTTCCGCCTCGGAGCAGGGAGACATTGCAGCTGCCTCGGCATCACCACCACGATCCACGGGCCCTTGCGGGGAGCCGTTTGGCGTGCTCTACACACCTGCGCTGTCTGCGAGTGGACAGATGCAGGCGCAGCCGGTGCACTCCGCTGTCGAGCTGAAGGCGCTGCTGACGGCACTGGAGCAACACCAAGGTACAGCTGACTCTTCTTCACCGTCGTCGCGTGTGCCCGTGGTATCTGTCCGGGATGTGTCGCTGACTCGCCTCGACTACCGCTACCCCTCTCGTGCCCCCCAATCCGAAGTGTCCGCCGTGTTGGTGCTGTATGGCCTGCTTGGGTCGTCCGCCACGAAGGAACTGCACGAAGCAGCGGTGGAGTGGATGGAAAAGGGCGAAGGTACCGTCCGCCCGACCTCTGACGCGGCCACCACGCCGACACTCGCGTACTTCTTCCGTCACTTGCCGGTGTCTCGCACGCGCCTCTGCGGGCCGACGGCCGCCGAGCAAGTACACGAGAGTAAGGATCACGCCGCCCTCGTGGAGGAGCAGTGGGACACCCCGCTGGTGGTGCAGGGCTACGGAGTCACGGTGGACTTCAAAAACATGGAGTACAAGGTCCTCGATGAGAAGGCGACTGCGCAGCAACGCGCCAAGGCGGAGGCGGAGGGCAACGATGCCGCCGCCAGCAGTCCGGCGGAGACACTCCTCGCACCGGCTGACCAGGCTGATCGCGTCGTTGCGGGCTTCCACATGCGACGCCTGACAGAGCGCTACCCCCACCTCGCGTTGTCGCTGAAGGAGCTAGCAACGTTGGTGGAGGACGAGATGGGCGGCCGCGACTTGAAAGTCGACTTCGATGTGTGGGAGCTGCAAAACATCGGGCTCGCCGCGACGCAGTACATCCGCGAAGTCGAGAACAGTAGCCGCCGCCTGCACGTGCTGAAGGATGTCGTGAACCGGTTCCCCCTGTACGCCGCCGCACTCTCGCGCATTGCCGCGCAGCCGAACCGCCTCGAAGTGGTGCAGAAAGCGCTCGCGGGGGTGCGTCAGCGGCTCTCACCGGGTGTGTCGGCGCTGTTTGTGGAGGGCTGGCGGGTGGAGGCGAAGGATCTGAGCCTATTTGGCGTGCTGGACGCGCTCAAGTCGAATGAAGCGGTTTCGCACCACATCAAGAGGGCCTTGACAACACGCCTAGTTCCACCCGGCGAAGAGGAGAATAACGCAGTGGCGGCGCGCAATGTTGCCACCGTGAAGGTCGCGCCGACGTTACTCGAGAAGGTGAGCAACTACGTGAAGCGCGCTGCGTGGCGGGCAGCGGAGGAGCACGGTGCCGGTGCCACCAGCGACGCCGCCTTCGCTATCCCGGACCAATACGTGACCTGGCTGAACGACGTGGAAGCAGAGGAACGCTTTGAGGGGATGCCGAGGCAGCTGAAGACCTTCTTCACGCAGGCGTCGGGCGTCACTCCCTTTCCGCGCCGCAACTTGCTGCACTTTGTGTTTATATGGAATGCGCTGCGAAGGTCGCACCTGCAGAGAATATCGATGATTTATAACCTGAACCGCCAAGGCTTGCTGGCGCGCTACGGGCTGCTGCTGCTCGACCCAGAGTGGTCGCCAGAGGTCGCATCGGAAACGACGACGGCGACCGGTGCGGCAGGACAGGCGGCGGGGTTTGCCGGGCAGTCCTCGCTTTCCCCCGAAGTCCTCGCTATTTCGGCCCTCGCCTACCACCTCGCACAAGCCGGCCAGCCGCAGGCGTTGATCGAGGTGATCGTCCAGCTTCTTCAGGCCCATGCGGCCGAGGACGCCATATCCGAGGACTTGATTTCGTCGAACACGGTGCAGCAAGTGTGCCGCGGCGTGGCAGACGCGGTATTCGGTTCGAGTCTGGAGGAGCTCATGAGCAATGTGGACTTCGTCAATCACTACCACGAAACACAGGCGATGCTCCGCCGATTTCCGATGGCCGAGTACCCGGCCGCCTTGATCAACGGCGTCGTGCTCGACTCCTACGGCGGGGCGCTTCCCGCCGCGCTGCACAAGGAAGTGCTGCAGCTGCGTGAATGGGTCGCCAATGGGGACCTAACGGACGACATGGAGGACCTCTACACCCAAATTCTCCAGCTACGCGGGGCAGCGGACCATCTGCAGCCGGCCCTGCTCCGACCTCCGCAGACGATGCCGTGGACGTCGACGCAGGCTGTTGTGGCCTTCATCGAGGACGCCCCTTACCTCTACAGCGCTGCCTACGCCTTCGATGTGCCCTCCCTCACGCAGATCCTCACGCTGCCCTGTCACGCCACCGAATCAACACTGCATCAGCTGCAGACGGTGCTCTCCGCCCTTCAGTCGTGCGCGGACGTGACGAGTGAGAGGGACGCGCACTACGCGGTCTGCCGCAGTCTTCGTGTGTCCATTGTGTCTTGCCCAGCCGCCATCGCCACCACCACCGCGGCCGACATCTCGCCTTCCTCGTCCGATGTGTCTCGCTACATCGCTGCGTTGCTGCGCCAGACAGTCCAGCGGGACGTCGCGGAAGCAAAACGCCTAATTACCATTCAGCGCTACGTCTCGCATCTCCGCAAAGCCCTCGCGATGTCGCCCACTGTCGGCGGGACACAGCGCCGCGCCGGCGTTCTCGATCGTGCGACGGTGACCGCGGCCCTCGCCCACGACCCCCTGCCGGACGATTTGCAGGTGAAAGAGACCGGGACGCCGGCTGACGTGCTGCAGCGCGTCAGCGGTAGCCGCGATTTCTGGGCCGCGCTGGGGGCTGCAATGCCGGCCCGCGACGTCAACGTGACGCTTGTCACAAATGGCCGGCTTATAGCAATGGACGACACCTTCACCGCATGGGACGTCCTCGAAGCGGCGCGGCAGATGCTGCCCATGACCAAAGCGATTGAAGAGGCAGTGGTGAAGGTGAACTTCGCAGAGATGACATCCGTCGATGCCGACGGCGCGCAGTTCACGTCAGATGAGATGGACAACGCCTTCTACGGCGGCAAAATCGCGTGTCTCACCAGCGTCTTTGAGCACGAGAAGATGGCGCACGAGGCCGTCAAGTCAGCCTCGCCGCTGGTGCGGGAGGAGCACCTATTCGCGAGTGCGGAGGATCGTAAGCGACTGCGGGCGGTACTCTTTTCTGTGAATAACACCCCAAATGGTGCAGCGTCAACGGGAGACGGGGAAGAGCTGCACCGCATCACCGCCGTCGTGGACCCTTCCTCACGGGACGCTCAACTGATCGTGTCTCTTGTGTCGTACCTTATGGAATCGCCGCTGCGGCTGCGCCTGACGGTGTTGTTAAACCCTTCACTGGATGTTAAATTCCCTATTCGCGACTTCTACGAGTACGTGGCGAGTGCGAGGGTAAACTTCGACGCCTCGTCGGGTCGGGTGATGGCCCCCGCGGCGACATTCACGCAGCTGCCCGCGCGCGCGCTGCTCACCCTCGGCGTGGAGGAGCCACCGACGTGGACCGTCTTCTCTCAAGCCGCAGAGGAGGACCTCGACAACATCCTGCTCTCGCAGCTGTCTCCCGGCACCCCTTTCGTCTTCGCGGTGTACCGGATGCACTCTATTCTCGTGACAGGCGATGCGACGGATGTGCTGGTGGGTCGGCCACCGGACGGCCTCCCGCTGTCTCTGACCACCGCCAACGCACGGAGCACCGATACGCAGGTCATGGCGAACCAGAACGGCTATTACCAGCTGCAGGCGGGGCCGGGTCTGTGGTACCTCTCCGTGAAGCCCGGGCCGGTTGCTGCGGCGTACTGCATCGAGGCCATCGGGCCCCACCCGATTCCGGCGTGTGCGGAGGGCAGAGGAGAGATCAACTTCACACAAGGGCAGCACATCCCGGTCGTATTGGACTCCTTCAGTGGACGCTACCTGTCGCTGCGGGTGCGCCACACGCCGACGTCGTCGCTGCCGACCTCGGCGACAGGTGACGGTAGCGGGAGGGATTTGCACGCGATTTTGCAAAAGATGGCGTCCGATGTGACGCACACGTGGCCGCCGCCGTGGCGCGCGCGCGTGGCGAGGCCGCACCCACCGGCGAAGCCGACGCTGCACGTCTTCTCCGTCGCGTCCGGGCACCTGTACGAGCGTTTCCTGCGCATGATGTTCTACAGCGTGCACCGGACCTCCTCGGACAAGTACGGCGCGAACACCACCCGCATTAAGTTTTGGGTTATTGAGAACTTCTTGTCGCCGCAGTTCAAGCGGTACATCCCGCTGCTGGCGGCAGAGCTGGGCTTTGAGGTGGGGTTTGTGACCTACCGCTGGCCGTGGTGGCTGCCACGGCAGACGGAGAAGCAACGAAAGATCTGGGCATACAAGATCCTGTTCCTCGACGTGATTTTCCCCCTGGATGTCGACCGCGTTATCTTCGTGGATGCGGACCAGACCGCCCAGGCCGACCTTCACGAGCTCTACAACATGGACATCGGCAACAGTCCGGTGGCGATGACGCCCTTCTGCCAGAAGTACCGGAATGAAGCCACGGTGCCGTTCCGTTTCTGGGAGCACGGCTTCTGGGTCGACCACCTGCGCGGCAAGCCCTACCACATCAGCGCCATCTTCCTCGTGGATCTGCGCCGGTTTCGTGCCATGCTGGCCGGCGACAGCTACCGCTCCACCTACGCCAATCTCGCGCTCGATCCCAACAGCCTCGCCAACTTGGATCAGGATCTGCCGAACTACTTACAAGCGAACATCCCCATCTTTTCTCTGCCGGAGCAGTGGCTGTGGTGTGAGACGTGGTGCAGTGCGAAGAGCAAGTCAAAAGCGAAGACGATCGACCTGTGCAACAACCCACTGACCAAGATGCCGAAGCTCGACAACGCGAAGATGGTCATTCCCGGCTGGGAGGAACTGGACAACAAGCTGCAGAACATGTCCGACTCGTTGCTTGGTCTCCATTGAAAGGAGGGCACTCGGTTGGTGTATTCACCGCTTGGTGTCTGTGTGTGTGTGTGGAGGGAGGAGGTATATCACTATGGGGTTCTTGTGTGCGATGTTGAATGGGGTCTAACTAAAAAGTGTGTTATGTATTTGCTCGCCCGTTGATGGCAATCAAATGCCTAAGGAAACAACACAAATTGTGCTCGCAGGCTTGGTGGAGGATGCCGCGTGATAAAACACATGCATGCTTCGACGCAGCTAATGTGAGCGATGCAGTAGTGTCACATGTGAAGGTCGGCGCAGCTCCCATGCGAACGAGGAATTTCAGCGTCTTGAGGACGAAAACGAGCACACGACGAACTCTACAAAGGAGTCTCACTGCCTCCATCTTTCCCACTCGCGCTTTTTCCTCTTCTTTCCTTTCTCTCACTTCGACCAAAACCCTTTGCAAATCTCCTCCATATGCACCAATTCGCAGTTCTTTTCTTTGCGCCTCTTTTCAGCTATTTCCTGCATCTTCCTTTGCATCAACGTTATCCAAGAAAGCCCCTCTTGCCACATCTTCCGTATTTATTCGCCTTTCTTCAGATCTAAACGTCTTTCTTCTCTCTCTCCTCTCCTTTGCTTTGCCTTGCTTTGCTTTCCTTTTTTGCAGACCCGTGAGGTGAGGTCTGTTACTGGACTCTCTCCTCCCCTTGATTTGCGCGCCAGACGTCACCCCGCACGGCCCGCCTTGGTGCTCTGGGTGCTCGTGTTTTCGCTTGTTTCCTCATCTTCCTCTTCCGACCTCCCTTCACGTCCGCGATGGCCGCCGCCACGGCCACGGCGCCGCCGACGCTGCACGTGGTGCCGCGCGTGGACAGCGCGACCATCTACAAGGACAAGTCCCGCCTGCGCCGGTGCGCGCCGTTGTCCTTCGCGGCTGCGGTGGAGGAGGTGCAGGTGATGGTGCCGATGCCTGCCGGTCGCGGGCCGCAGAGCGCGTTTGATCGGGACTCCATCCAGGTGGAGTTCGGCGCTGCGTACGACGGCAAGGTTGTGCTGGCGGGCGTGCTTGTGGACGAGGTGGACAAGGCGTGCCTGCGCAGCGACGGGACGGTGGACGTGGACGCTGCCCGGCGCCTGGGCAGAGCCGGCGTGGTGAGCGTGAGCGACTCCGACGCGGACGACGTTGCGGCTGCGAAGTCGTCGGCGGAGGCGCGCCGCGAGGTGGAGGTGCAGCTGGCGAGCGTGCGGCTGAAGCTGCGGCTGAACGAGATCGCGCTGGACGAGGCGACGGCTGCGCGCGACTTCAGCGTGGACGTGGCGAAGCGCGCGGTGGACTGCGAGGGCGGTGCGGCGCTGGCGACGGCGGGCGTGATGTTCGACGCGGAGATGTGGGCGGCGCACGTGGACGCGGTGGAGGCTGCGAAGCGCGACTTCGCGCGCCGGCGGCGGGAGCTGCAGCACGAGCGCGAGGCCCTCGAGAAGGAGGTGACGGTGCTGGAGAGCAAGCTGCCGTCTCGCTCTGTGCACGACTGGGAGCGCAGCGGCGCGGAGGACAGCACGACGGTTGTGGTGGCGGTGCTGACGCTGAAGGTGCTGGCGGCTGTCCCTGCGTCGCCGGAGGCGGTGGTGTACGTGTCGTACATGGTGCAGCGTGGTGCGTGGGACGCGGTATACGAGGCGCACCTCGACACTGCGACGAACGAGGTGGTGCTGTACTACAACGCGGAGGTGCGGATGAGCGACGGCGAGGACCTGCACGAGGTGGCGCTGACGCTCTCGTCCGCCGCCCCGCGCCGCAACGCTGCGCTGCCGCCGACGATGACAATTTGGCGCTGCGGCGTCGTGCAGCCTCCACCGCCTGAGGAACCCGCTGACGAAGCCTGCTGCTATGCGATGATGGAAGCTGACTCTGCGCCTCGGGGATTGATGCTGATGGCTGCGCCTGCGCCGATGATGCGTCGGATGGATGCCGCGGTGGAGCAGGTGGGCACCGGCGGCGTGGTGAACTTCGCCATCCCGACGCCGCAGACGGTGCTGGCGAACGGGAAGACGACGCGTGTGCCGCTGACGGAGCTGCGGATGCCGGCGAAGATCAGCTACGTGAGCGTGCCGGAGAAGCTGCCGGCCGCCTTCACGCACGCGAAGATCCGGAACACGAGCGACTTCCTGCTGCTGACGGGCGACGTTGCCGTGTTCCTGGACGGCAACTACGTGACGCGGTCGCGCCTCGGCGCGGAGTGTGCGTCGGGCGGGATGGTGGAGCTGGACTTCGGCGTGGACCGCGCCGTGGAGGTGAAGCGTGTGCTGCTGCGGCAGGCGAACCGCAAGGTGCAGAGCTCGTACCTGAAGGGGACGAAGAACAACGTGAAGACGTACGCGTACAAGATCACGATCCGCAACAAGAAGCGCGCGAGCGGCGACGACAAGGGCGCGGTGAAGGTGAAGCTGATCGAGCACATGCCGGTGAGCAGCGAGGAGCAGCTGCGTGTGCGTCTCGTGTCGCCGTCGAAGCCGCAGGAGGAGGTGTACATCTACGACGACGCGGCGGACAGACAGGAGCAGCTGCAGCGGAAGGCGCGTGCGCTGGAGAACGACGGCGTTGTGGAGATGGAGCGCGAGGTGCGGGCGGGCGAAAGCGTGGACGTGCTGTTCTCCTTCGAGGTGGAGTCGCCGAGCACGGCGACGGTGTACGGGCTGTGAGCGTGCAACATCATTTTTCTTTCATTGTGTTCTGCCTTGTTTCCCCGTTCAGTGAGTGTGCTGTTTTGCGTGTTGCTAACCTTTTTTTCCCCCGTCGTCGGCGCTTCTCTGTTCTGAAGCGCTTGATCTGTCGGCTGTGCCGAAAAGCGGCCACAAGGTCGCAAGCTAGGTGGCCGAAAGAACTTACGTCGTACTGCTGTACAACTTGGGCCGAAAACCCCTTTTTGTTTCCTTTCCTGAGGTCCTTTGCTGACTTTATCGTATGTTGGGTTTCATGCTGACAGCCGTTGTCGTCCATATCGACTTTTTGTATTTTTGCAGAGCCTTGACATCTTCTTGCTCTGTTGTTTCTCCCCGCCTTGCACGCGTTCAAGGAGCCGGGTTTTTTTTGTCTTTTGTCTTCTCCCCGTAATGCTGCGGCGTCGACCCTCACCGTTGACCGAGTGCGCACTGTCCCTTATCCTGTTTGCCGTTGCACCCGGTTCTGTTGGCTCTCTTCACGTTGCACGCCACTTCCTTTTAGAAAACCCGACCTGAAACCGTGAGTGGGACATGCAGAAAGAAAAGGAAAACTGCCAAAATACCCCGCTAACAGGTGCACGGTTGTGCTTACCTGCCTGGGACTCCAGAGCCCTTCGAAGGGTCTGCACAACGTCAACAGCTAAAAGACGCCAATCTTATGAACAGGAAAGCCATGGAGCAGCTGCTATACATATATATATATATATATATATTTGTGTGTCGCTTGATGGATGCACCGCTTTGTGGACGCATTCTGGAAGGTTGGAATGTGACACCCTCGACGATGAGCGCAACAGACCGTCCTATTGAGAAAAGCAACGGGCCACCAAAATAGCCTGCATCGCTGAGTGTGTATGGCTGATATTGCTGTTTCTGTTTCCTCAGCTCATGTGTCCATCCATCGTTGCTGATATCTGCGCTCATCGGTTCTCTCCCACTCATCATTGCTGCTATTATGATTATTGTTATTATTCTGCCGCGCCTCGACTCTCTACATGACGTGTGAGCACTATAGAAGTTCTTCGCTAAGGATCACATCGTTCTTATTGTTTTGCGCCTTTCTTCCGCACCCTCGCACGAATGCCGTTGGCCTCGGAGTGGACGGAGGAGAAGAACGCGTGCATTGACTGGTCCATTCCATCGGAGGTGTTGGGCAACGGCTTCACGTTTCTTCAGCTCCTCGCCGTTCACCCTCGTCTGCGCGAGCACTACGCGAAGGCGGAGCGGCGGGAGAAGCGGGCAGCGGCGACGGCCATCTTCCTCCGCGGAAGCGACACAGAAAAAACAGCTCTGTTAAATGAATGGCGGGCGCAACAGCTTCTCACGCCGCGAGAACAGCGGTGGTGTCGCTTTTGCGGAGCGAGCGGCCACACCCGCCTGCGGTGCCCGAAGCGTCGCCGCGAGGCGTCCGACGAGGGCCACGCCGGCGAAGAGTCAGCTGAGAAAGTGGTGCCCCCACAGAAAGGGGCTGAGACTTCCACCTCTGCTTTGGTGTTCCCGGCAGCCGCAGACGTCGCAGATTCCGCTGCGACACCGTCGGTGCTGAAGAAGTACTTGGAGCATCGTCAGCGTGTCGAGCGGCGTCGAATCATGGAAGAGAGGCAACGACCCCGCGCCGAGTTGACGGCCGTGCGGCGGGACAACGCTTCGAACGGCGCGACGGCCGCCCCTGCTGGTGCTAGTGCTGCCGCTGCCGCCGTCTTCGCTGCTGAGGACCGCCGCCGGGGGTTGGTGTGCCGCATCGACGAGGCGAGCAACATCGGCTTCATCACCGTCGCCGGCATGGGGGAGTTGAAGTTCTTTGTCGATCGCGTGGATGTCGGGGTGAAGATGGTCGCCGTCGGGGACGCCGTAGCCTTCAAGCTGGACGCCAGCCGCGATTACCCGATCGCGGTCGACGTGCGACACGAGCGCCCGGTGATCAGCCTGGACGACGTGCGTAAGTTTTTGCATCGCTGCCGGGCCGCGCGGCACCCTATAAAGGTGATGGCGACGCTGCTCATGCACGCTCACGAGTGGGTGGTGCTGCTGCTGTGGCTGCAGGCGATGCGCGAGCAGGACGTAAACTTCTACCTTGACGCCGTGCACACGCTGATCGAGCTGACCACTTTTGTCGGCAATCGCGAGCCGATCCACGAGCCGGTGCTAGAGGCATTCCTATCGTTGATGTGCACCACGACAGCGAATACGGCGAGCAGCGCGGCGGCCTCGCCGCTTTCCTCGTCTCCCGCCTCTCCGGCGCCGTCTGGTGCGTCGACCAACACCGAAAGTCAGCGTCTTCGCTTTTATCCGGACATGGTGCAGGATGCGTTAGAGATGAGCGCGGCGTCGCTGCGCTCGAGCACACCGACCCTGTCTGCGACGGCGTCGCCAGCGGCGCGGCTGGCTGAGGATCACTGGATGGAGGCGGCGCAGTACGTCATTCTTATGCAGTACTACGGATCGAGCCGTGATGACAGCGAAGGTGGTGCAGGGGGCAATGCAAGTGTCAATGCCTCCCCGCTTGCGGAGGAGCGAGAGGAGGCGGTCGTGCAGCTGCTGCAGACCGTCTTGGCGGAGCGCGCTGCCCGGGCTACGGTCGTGGCGGCGCGTCGGCTGAAGAGCATGCAGCGCCGTTTGGCGGAAGAGACGCGCCGCCTCGTCGCAGTGACGGAGCGGCCCCCCCGTAGCGCCGCGCTCCCTCTCATCCCCACCGCGGCGGAGCTGAGTGTCCCGCCGCCGGACCCGTCGTCGGTGTTTGCGGCGTCGAATTTGCCCGTCAACGGCGCCGTCACGTACGACTCGACGGACCGCTTTATTCGCGATCAGCGTGCGCTGCTGCGCGCCGACACCTTCGAGGCTGTCAGTCGCCTTCTGCCGGCGGTCTGCTACAGCTTACCGACCTACACACCGTCCGCGGAGACGTTGTCCGACGTGCAGCACGCCCGCGTGTACTCCCACGTGCGATGCGTAGGCAAAGTGCTGACACGTGACCGCGACTACAGCCACCCGAACAGCTACCTGCTCGAGGTGCACCCACACAGCGCGAAGGCAGACCTGCGAGCGCAGCTGCACCAAGGCACGACAGTGTGCATTTCCACCGGCTTAGACCCGACCCGCATGCAGAAAGACGAACTCTTCTGGGGCCTCGTCTCGTCGTGCGATGCGACGCTCATGAAGGCGGGTGTCATCGTCGTGTGTCCGTGCGAGGGCAGCGAGTCGTTTGAGCGGATGTGTGCGGCGTTGGTGCGCAACGCGGCGGCGGGCAGGTTGGACCGCTCCTTCTTGCTCGAGACGCCAATCTTTATGACCGGCTACGAGAGCATCATGCGCGCCTTGGAGGCTTTTTGCGGTTCGCTGGCGATGCCGCTGCCGCTCGTACGACAACTTGTCGGCCCACAGGCAGCGACTGCTGCTGCGGCGGCGAAGGCGGCTGCGGCCGATGCGTTGGCAGTCGGTGCGGTTGCATCGAGTGGTCATCAATCTGTGCAAGAGGAGAAGGGTGAAGGCCAACTTATGGAGTACATCCCGCCGCACTGCGCAGTGGCGTTTCACGAGATTGCGAATGAAATTCAATCGAGGTTTGCCCTGGACGAAGGCCAGGCAGCCGTCATGCGCCAACTGCCCGTTTCGAAGATGATTCTCGTGCAGGGTCCCCCGGGCACCGGCAAGTCTTTTATTGGCTGCCGTGTGGTGGAGGCCTATGTCCGCTACAAGCAGCTCGTCGCGTCGGGGGACATTCTGCAGAAGGTCAGCATCAACATGCTCCGCTCGATCCGCATGGACGAGCTGCTGCCGCGGGTCGGGCCGATGGTGGTCATCACCTACAAAAACCACGCGTTGGATGAATTTCTGCTCGATTTGTTAGACTCCGGGCTGTGGGAAGGCGATCGACCGCGTGTGGGTCAGCAGCTGGCGGCGAACACGGCTGGGCTGTCCTCGAACCCTGGCACCTTCCCCGGTGGGAAGCGCCTCGTCCGCATCGGTGGCCGCTCGCGGGAATCGGCCCTGGACGGCTACAACCTCGGCTCCCTCATGCACGGCAGCACCGACCGCGCAGCCATCAATAGCCTCAAGGAGCGGCTCTACGTACTAAACCAACGGCTGGAGCGGCTGACGAAGGAGATCCACTACCTCGAGAACGGGAAGGTGCCCCGCGTGTACTTTGAGCGGTGGCTGACGGCGGAGCAGCGAAAGCACATTACCTACGACGAGCGCGAGGCGTGGCTTGCCGGGGAGCGCTTTGTCGGGGTGCCGGACGGGCCGACGGATGCGGTGTCCGCTACGCATTACCAGGAGCTGCTGCAGACGCGCATGTCGGCGCTGCTGCACGGGCAGGAGACCGCAGCAACAGGGGCGGCGGCAGCAACGGCAGCTGCGACGACAGCGCCGCACCGATCCACGAATGCGGACGCTGCAGCGGCGGCGGAGACGGAGAAGGACGATGAGACGGCTGTGGACGCCGCACTGCAGGCCGATGAGGCAGCAGAACGGGAGAAGGAGGAGGACGTGTCCTTGAGCGTCTTTCAGGAGATGCGCCGCGAGGAGGAAAGACGGGAATTCAACAACGAACTCCACCGGACTTATCTCTCCTCGGAGGCGATTCGGCTGGCCAGCCACCCACCCAGTCGCCCCGCAGGGGTGCCGGAGGAGCTGCTCTCGCTGTGGAGCCTCCGCCCACGACTGCGGCACGAGTACTACGCCTACCTTATCGCCCGCACCATTTCCGCCAAGGCGCGTGATTGCCAGACGATTATGGAGACCATGAAGAGCGTCATCCGTGTGCGGCTGCACGCCACGGATGAATTAAAGCTGGCCCTTCTGCAGGGTGCGGATGTCGTGGGGCTGACGACCACTGGCTGCGCCATGAACCAGCACCTACTGCGGTCTCTGCGACCGAGCGTGCTGGTGGTGGAGGAGGCGGCCGAGGTGCTGGAGTCGCAGCTGCTGGCCTGCATGACGGACTCGCTGAAGCAGATCATCCTCATCGGCGATCACTTCCAGCTGCAGCCGAAGGTGGACACCTTCCAGTACGAGAAGGTCAACCACCTGAACCTCTCCCTCTTTGAGCGGCTGGCGCGCACGTGGCAGCCGATCCGGCTCACGGAGCAGCGTCGCATGCACCCCGACATCTCGCGGCTTATCCGCCCCTTCTACACCCCGCAGCCGCTGATCGATCACGCGTCGCTGCTGACGCGTCCCTTCCCTTCTGCCTCCCACACAGTGCGGCTGGACACGGTGCCTGGCCTGGCGCAGCGAGTCTTCTTCTGGCGTCACAACCACCCGGAGGAGGAGGCCCCCGGCAGCCGCAGTAAGGTGAACACGCGAGAGATCCGCATGGTCCAGCAGGTGGTGGCCCACCTCGCCTCGCAGGGTGTGCTGCAGAAGTCCATGACGGTCATCACGCCTTACTTGGGTCAGTGCCGCATGCTGCGCGGGGTGCTGCGCCTGCGCTCCCTCGCGGATGTGCGAGTCAGCACCGTGGACCTTTATCAGGGGGACGAGAACGACGTGGTGATCTTGTCGCTGGTGCGCACCGAGAAGCTGACGGACTTCATTCGCACGCGGAATCGTCTCATCGTGTCGTGCTCGCGGGCGCGCTTTGCGATGGTGATGGTTGGCAATGACAAGCTGCTGCGTCAGTGCTCGCATTGGCAGGCGGTGCTGGACCAGCTGCAGGCGGACAACCACATTGGGGAGAGTTTGCCCATCACGTTCCGCGAGCACCCGGCACAGGTGCAGTACCTGCGCGTGACAGAGAACGTGTCCGCCGCTGCCTTGGAGGAGGAGATGAACGCCGCAAGACGACCACCCGCCGTCTCCCGTCACAACATCAACGCGGCAGCCGCTGAAGGCGACGGTACCGATGGCGGTGACAACGAGGTAAATAGCGGTGAAGGCGACAGGGACGACGGCGCAGGCGGGGAGGCGGTGGTGGTCGACCAAGGCGGCGATGGGAGCAGCGGCACGGACGAAGAGGCGTAACGTTGGCTGACGAAGTTAACATGCGTTGGTGCGCACGCGCCTCTTTCCCCCATTCTCATCTTTCTCTGTTTACACTTAAATCCAGAGGGCTACAGAAAAGGAAAGAAAGAAAGGCAAAGAGGGGGAATGCTTGTGTTCGCAGATCTTTGCATATTTTAGTTGTTAAAAAATAAAAAGAGGATGCACACCCGTTTAAGTAAGACAACGATCAATTCTCTCGAGTGAGTCATTCCAGGAAGGAGCGACGGTAGATTCTGTCACTTCCAGCTTTCTGTTTCCCCCCTCCCGTCCCTATTTCTGCGTTGGCAGCGCATTCCGGCAAGGAAAGGAAAACAAGAGAGGTAAAGCTCATATCCCCTTGTAGATTCGTGCGTCGCTCCGACGGAGGTGCGCTGACGTGTTTCTATTGTTGTTATTGACCTCTTTACTCTCAGCCAAGGTTGAGGCGCATGTACTTTCTCGAATCTCCTCAAAACCAACTTTATGTATATATATATATTTGCTGCTGCTGCTGCTCTCTCTCTCTCTCTTTCTCTCTACCGTTTTTCTGTTATCCGCGTTCTTCTCAACGGCCAGTGCTACTGCTTCGTATCCTTTTCTTCATCACTTCGGCTCAACTCTCTTGGCAGCTGTTCGTTTCGTCTCCCCTTCTCCTTTAATGCGTGCATTCCGCATTGGTGTCTTCGTTTCCAGATCGTTTTTCCTTTCTCCTTCGCGGAGCAGCTGAAGAGCTAAAGAAGTTTATCTCTTCCTGTGCGCTGCGCTTCTTCAGAGGTCGTCTTCCCTCGCTCTCTCATGTCTCCCTGTCGATATCTGACTTTTTCTTTTTCTTCTGTGAAGTAGAGTTATCGTTCGCACATTTCTCTCTGGTGCCTGCCTTTCTTGTCCATCGTGCCGTCTTTTTCTCAAAAGACTCCGCGTGCTGGGCAACGCTGCTTTCGTGTCTCTCCTTTGATTTCGCTTCTTCCTTTCATCCGTTGTGACTGGGATTCCAGTGTCGTCGTTCAACGCGAGCACCGCCGCTCGTTCCTGCATTTGGCTCCTCTGTGCTCCCTCTATCTCTGAAGGGTTCGCGCTTGGGAAGAGCGAGGAATCCTTATTAATACTATTTGGACAGCTATATTCCGCAATACGCGTGCGTGCACGACACAGCGCGTCGAAGCAATGTTATCCCAACTCCTGTGGGCGTGGGACTTCTTCCTCTTCATACTCCGTGGCACCTTCGTCGCGCTTGCGGACTTCTGGGTCATGTACGTCCGCGCCGGCCGTGTTTGGCTCGGCAAGCGGAACCAGCCCTCCTCCCTCGTGCGGGGCGACCTGGTCATGCAACTCGCCGCCTCCTCTCCCCATCACAGCACCGCCAATGAGAAGAACATCTTTCTGCAGCTGAACAGCACCTTCATCGATCGGCGGCTGTGGATGGGGCTGGACGATCCTGGCACCGGTCCGTCAGCCATCGTGACCGGCATCTCCTACGGTGGCATCGGCTTCTACACAACGTTAAACCTGCTGCTGAGTGGCGTGAATGTGCACGGCGTTGCACGCACGGCGCGGCAGGCGGAGCGGGCGCGGCAGCTACTGACGGATGCCGTGGATCGGCAGATCATGCTGCACAAGGAGTGGAGTGGCCGGGTGGGCCGTTTCCTCGTCCACGTGTGCAACATGAGTGACACCACAGCTGTGCTGAACTTCAGCCAGGTCCTCGCGACCGACTCGGCGCTGCGCATCATCGTGTGCAACGCAGGGCCGATGTGCACCCCACCGAAGCTGTCGCGGCAAGGGCTAGAGGAGCAATTTGCGACGCACCACGTCGGGCACAGCTTGTTGATGCTGCGGCTGCTGCAGGTCCGGATGGAGCGTTTGCACTCCCGCTCGATGGCCGTGTCTGCGGCGCCGCCGCTGCGCATGGTAATTCTCGCCTCCGCCGCTGCGGCCACTGGTAACCCGACGGCCCAAACCACCTTTCACGAGTGGGGCAGTGTGGCAGAGCTAGAGCAGCACCTAAGTCGCTTCAGGAGCTACGGAAATGCGAAGATGTGCGTGCTGCTCTTCGCCTTTGCGTTGGCGCGCTTTGTTCATCAGCAGCGGCTGCTCTCGCCGTCGTGCACCGTGAACGTTCTCCACCCTGGACCGATTCGCAGTCGCGTCATCCCGAACAGTCAGCTGCCGTGGCGGTGGCTGCTGGACGGCGAGGCGGCCGGATTGCTTCGCATGACGCCTGTTATTGCCTCCATGTTCGTCACCGATCTCGCCTTGTCTGAGCGCTACGAGCGTGTCAGCGGACACTTCTTCCGCATGGGCGAGGACCAGACGCTGCGCTACCGCGACATGGTGCTGGAGGCGCGCCATCGAAGGGGGGTTTTCACGAACTCGACGCTGTTTCCTGGCATCCCCGGCCCTGCAGTTTCTCTATCACTGGCAAAGCAGCAGTGGATGTGGATCACCACGATGAACTACTTCGCCTCCAAAGACCTCGTGGACACGCGAATGTTCTCGCTGCTGTAGAGGAGGAGGGGAGCATCGCAGCGCAAATCCAAAAAAAGAAGAACTTGAAACGGAGTGATGTAGTTGATCCGCCGATGTTGCATTTCGCTGACACCGCGTCTCCACTCTTTCTTTGCGTTCTGTGTTGATGTGCGCGCACAGCGAAGTCGTAGGAAACTGCCTCAAACATTACAAAAGTGCTAAACGAGAACAACGCGGTTCGGTATCTTGTGACTTGCCTTTCGACGCACCTTATAATTCTTCCTATTTGAGTGGTCTCGCATTTTCCGTGGCAGGCAAGGAGGAAGGAGACTTACTGACGTTTCCCGTTGTCGTTAAGGAAACGCGCCTCTCTGTTTTCTTGTGGTGAGCGCTTCGCTTCTCGAAAAGATGATGTCGGCTGCTGTCGCTTTCTTCTTCTCGGACAGTCTCGCCGCTTTTCTGTCTCTTCTTACTTATTTGAAATCAATTCTTCGTATTGATGTGTGTGTTTGTATGTATATATATATGGTGCTTCGCTCCTTGTAAGATGCAGGCTTCTGCCGGTGCTGCACCTTCTCTTCTTTCTCTTTTCGTTAGTGTCCTCATTTGATAAAGAGAGAAACAAAGAAGCTACGCAGGCCATGGCCCTTCCCTCACTGCAAAGCACCATGGTGCCGGAAAGAGGGTCCATCTCCCTCTCTTCCACCCAGTCACCACAGCCGCTGCCGCCGCCGCCGCAGCAGCAGCAGAAGAATTCTGTGCAACTTTCTGCCTTTTCACCCCTGAGTGGGATGCTGCACCTGCCGATCCTCACTGCCACGTCGTTGCGGCCCGCAAAGCGAAGTAGCACCTCCCACTCCACACAGCAGACAAGCCACGACGACAGCGGCGAGCAGCGGCAGCAGCAGCAACATCCGCTGCTTCATCAACTGCTCTCCGACGCCACCACCTTTGCAACACGGCAGGCACCACTTGCGAAGGACTTGGAAGCAGGACCTCCTTGGCTTCTTCCGACGCTGGACGACGCGGTGGATGAGGTGGGCGGTGCGGATAAAATGGAGTCGTTGCTGCGACAACTGCGCAGCCTTTCTCCCCAACACGCACAACAATGGCAACTGGAAGAGGCCGGAAGCAACACCGCCTTCTCGTCCCAGATCCGAGACGCCGTGCGGCAATGCGTGCGGCATGCGTTGAACTTATCGGACGATGCGGTTCACGTGCGCGCTGTGCAGGACGACCCGTCGTTGCTCCAGGTGCAAATACCTTTGCCAGTGTCAGCAGCGATCAAGAAGGAGAAAGCGGTGCCAGGGCGTCCTTGCCTTGTCCTGCGCATGCACCGCCAGAGGGGCGTCCTGTCTCTGCACATCATCCACTTGCGCTTTCAAGCCCCAGATGAAGGCATTGCACCACGTGCCACTCGACGGCGACTCCCTCAGTCGCCGTTGTTGAAGCGGAAAGGCAGCCAAAGTGCCGCTACCGCAGCGGACGACCACGCATTGATTCCACCTTTACTAGAAGCTGCGATGCCCTGCAACAATGCGTGTGCAGAGAAGCCGGCATCGTCATTGCGGCTCCCCGACAGCGGACTTGGCGGCTTCCAGCTGGGCGCTGCGCTCTGTCGTCCATCGGGCGCGCTCGACAAGCCAAAGGCGGTCCTGACAGACAAATTGAGAGTTGCTCCGTCGCGCACCCCATCGGCTTCCGCGGCGAGACGCACTGGCGTTTCCCGGTTAGCAAAAGGCAGTCGAAGTTCACGCAAACGGCACGGTTCGGCCCGGCGATTGCAGACGGAAAGCGACGCAGTTGAGTTCGACCCCCTGCGTCCAGAGGAGACGACGCCCTTCAACGCCCAGCACCGCCCGCTGACCTTCAACGCTGCTATTGCGTTTTCGTAGCCGACTTCACATTACGTGTGTTGGCAAGGCAAACCCAGCAAATGGTGGTTGATGTTTTTCTGTACTTCGTCATGTACTAGCTTTCCTCCCTTGTTCTGCGAAAAAACTTCTTCGCTCGTCGCTTGAAGTTCGCCGTATGGCTTACGCATCAATTGTTTTTGTTTACCTTCGTTTTTGTTTTCTCTCCCTCCTTTCCTCCGTTCGCTGATGTCTTCCTCTTCTAAGCACTAACCGTCTGCGTGATGAGTCTTTGTTTGTCGTTTTCTCAAAAGTACCTTTTTTCCTCTTCTTATTCTATCTTCCTCGTTGACACTCCCATTAAATCGCGTAACAAGGCGAATTGCGCTCGCCGCTACATGTATCAAACACGGTGCGAGGCCGGCAGTGGTTCTGTACGACTACGGTCTGTTTAAAAAAGAAAAAGAAGAAAAAAAGATGGTCAGTAATTTTTTTTATGGAAAAATACGCTTCTTCTGTTGTGATCATAGATTGAAGGCTGACTCTCGACCTTCCTTTCTTTTTTTCGATGTTCGCAGCAGGCTGAGAGAGTCAAACGCCGAAGCATTGTAGCGAGGACAGCTTATCTTTTCTCTCTCGTAGCTACGAATGAAAGCGTTTTGATGATGGTCGTAATTTTCGCTTCTCTTTACACTTCTCTTTGTGCTCTCCATGCACGTACGACTCCACGAAACGGACGGACGTGCCTATCGCCCTTTGTTTTTTTGTTTTCACTGAAAGCGGCTCTTTCGATTGACATTTGAGAAGTTCAGCTGCGTTGTGACGACTCATAATCCAGCTTTCCCCTTCAACGTTTGGCGGACGTCTGGCTGTTGTACTTCTTGTTTTTTGCCGGATCTACTCCGTCGCGTTCTCAAAACAACAACGACAAAAGGAAAGAAACGAGACGATGTCTTCGACCAATGTGTTGCAGCTGCTGCAGCTCGCCTACCACGGCGGCAAGGAGGAGCGCACCCGCGCCACGGCCGAGTTAGAGGCGGTCATGCAGAACCCAACTGCTGCCCCCGCCTGTGTTCTCGTGCTGCTCCGTGCTGGCGTTGACCCGTCGCTCCCGGCCGAGCAAAGCCTCTCCGCGCTGCTCTACGCCAAAAACGCGTTGCTGCACACCATCGGCGACGACGTCGTGATCAACACCCCAAACTTCCTCACCGATATGGAGACGGTGGTGTTCACGGGCATGTTTACTGTGGCCGAGACGCATCGACGCGTCCTGCGGGCGTGCATCATGACGCTCATTAGTGGGTTCGAGTGGAACTACCTGAGCGACTTGATGCCGTGTATTGAGCGCGACGTGAGCAACGTGCCGCTGGAGACGTCCCTCGCTGCCCTGGAGCTGCTCTATACGTACGTGAAGCGGTTCAAAACACCGGGCCTCGTGCCGATGCCGTTGAAGCTGGAGGTATGTGCGGTGCTGATCCGCAAGCTCCCCGAGTACACCGCGTACACGGACATGCGTGTGTTTCGTCTTGTGTTTAAACTGTCGGAGTGCGTCGCAGAGACGGGCCTGCAGCTGACGAACAGCAAAGACATGAACGCCACGGCTCTGGACGGGCTCTTCCAACTCATGCTGGCCTTTCCCCAGCAGCACTACGAAGCCGCCCACGCCGCCGGTGGCAGGGCATATCTCGAGTACGTGAAGTGTATGAAGCGCATAGCCATGGTGACCTACTCCGTCATGAACGACGCCACCCGCCGCAAGAAGCCCGCACCGGTCGCGCGGCATTTCCTGAAGATGCACGGCGCTGCCTTTCTCGCCACCTGGCGGCAGTGGCTGCAGTTCTGTGTCTCCGCGGCGGACCGCCACACGCACCAGAAGAGCGAGATGTTTGCCATCCGCTACGTGAAGCTGTGCACTCTGGATGAGACCCTCTACACCAAGCAGCTCCGTCCACAGGCGATGGAAATTGTGGAGCAGCTCCTCTTTCCCTATCTCTGCTTTAACGAGGAAGACGAGGAGGTCTTCGCCGATGACGGCGACCTCGCGGATTACGTGCAGTACATGATGGAGGAGGGCTTCGGCAACGCGGAGCTGTCCACCCGGCAGGCCGCCTCGAACACAATCCTCGCTCTCCTCGGCACCAAGAAGAAGTTCCACGACACCACGGCGCTGCTGCAGGCGCTGGTCGGCGTCCTCACGCACGGCTTCGAGACCGCCGACGTCACGACCGCGGCCGGCAACGCGCTGCTCTTCGGTTTCCTTCATCTGCTGTCGATCCTGCGCAAGTTCTTAAAGGAGGTGCCGGAAATTTGGCAGGGGCAGATGGCGCAGGTGCTCATGCGGTACGTGGCGCCGTGCCTGCAGCCCACCATCCCCTCCGTCGGCGTGCGCTGCAAGGCGGTGGTCGTCTGCCAGCGGTACAGCAAGGTGCCAATGCCGACAGAGAGCGACTTCGCCTCCTTTATGCAGATGATGTGCGGTGTCGTCCAAGACCGCGAGGTGCGAGTGCGACTGGCCGGCATTGACGCGATGTGCACGCTGTTGGAGATGAAGCGGGCCCGCCCTTACCTCGGTCCCATCCTCGTCCCCCTCGTGGAGGAGTGTCTGTGCTTTCTGAGCAAGGTGCAGACGACGTTCGTGCCGGCGGTCATTCTGCACCTCGCCACCCACTTCGCGCCGGAGCTGACCCCCGTCATGGGCAAGCTGGGCCACACCTTGGTGCAGCACCTGCTCGCGACGATGCACGACATGGATCAGCAAGAGGCGAGCGACGGCGCCGCGTTGGGGGATGAGGCGGCGGCGGTGGACCTCAGCCAGTACGAGCAGGCCGCCTTCAGTGCGGATGCCTTGTTGGATGCCATCTTCACCGTCGTGACCAGCTGCGGTGAGAACGAGGCGGCATTTCTCGAGATGCGGCCGGATGTGCTCCGCCTCGTGCGTCACGTGCTGGAGCAGCCCGACAACTTCGACATGATGGAGAAGACGCTCTCCATCTTTCTGCACGTGGTGTATTTCTCCAAGCCGATCCCGCAGGAGTGCTGGGATCTGCTGCCGCTGCTTTTTCGCCTCGTGGAGTCGGGCATCGGGGTCGACTTCTTCGTCTCCATTGAGGAGGTGCTAGACAACGTCGTGTCGGGTGCGCCGGTCGAGTTTCTCAGCAACACTGCGTTGATGAACGCGACGTACGCCATGTGCGAGAAGATGCTGATTGGGGGTGTCGCATGCATGCCGGAGTGTCAGATGGCACCGGCGCAGCTCATCGAGGCGATGCTGCACACGGCGAAGTCCATCACGGCGCCACCGGGCCTCTTCCACCCTTACCTGCCCAAGTTTGTCGGTCTCCTCCTGCAGTCACTGCTGAACCCGGACATCCAAAGCGGTGATGTGCGCATTCGCATCTGGGTTATTGCGGCCTTGATGGACTGCTTCTACTACGATGCCGCCGCCACCTTCGGTGTGATGCTGCAGGCGAACGCCTATCCGAGCTTCTTCGATGGACTGCTGTACTTCTTTCGCGGTTGCTGGCAAGACGGCCCGAGTGCGGAGTCCGCCGCCAGCGGTAGCGGCAGCACCACCGCCGCCGCTGCTGTCGGCCGGAAGAAGAAGACGAAGAAGGATGACTCGGGCGAGGCGCTGGAGAACTTATCGCTGCTGACCCGCAAGGTGCTCATTCTCGGGCTGTCCTCCCTCCTCGCGTACGCTACAGACCCGAGCGTGCCAGCCGCCTCCGCACCGCCACAGCAGCAGCAGCAGCGGGAGGCGTTTCTCGCGTCGTACCAGGCCCCCCTCACCCGTGTGATTCAGTACTGCATCTTCACGAATGAGGCGACGTACGGTCCCCGCTGCACCGTGTCGGAGGCACACCTGCAGCGAATCGTGGCGGGCGTCGAGGACGAAATTGAAGATTACGAAGTCAGCGACGAGGCGGTATTAGGCGTAGACGGCGGCGACGATACCATCGAGGCCTATCAAGACTTGTCAGGGGAGGAAGACGGTGCGGACGATGGTGCCGGGGTGAGCGCGGAGGTGGCGGCGGCGCGCGCCGAGCTCGACCTCGATGAAGGTGACGACTACGAGAGCCCCATCGACGACATCAACGAGGTGGAATTCTTTTTAAGTTGGGTGCGCATACTTCCGCAGCTGCCGCCGTCGGTGCAGGCGCAGGCGCAGGCGGTACTGCGGCCGGAGGGTGACTACGTCCGCGCCTCGCACACCGCCGCGCGATACAGGGAGCTGAGCAAGGCGCTCGAGGTCGCCATGAGGGACGACTTTCACGCGCGCACGGAGGCGTTGCACGCGGCGTGAAGCTTTCGGGCGGTGAAACGGAAGAGCACTGCTGAGTTGTTGGTGCGCACAAGAAGTCTTCTTTTTTTCCCCCTGTTGTTGTGATGGATTCTTTTTGGTAACTCTCCCTCGAGAGGGAGGCTCGAATAAACGTGTACAGTCCTAAGCGCAAGTGAAAATTAATGTTTGATGTGCTTGCATAATGCTTATAAAGGTGGTAATTCTGAATGCCCAAAAGTGCCACCACAACCACAGCGAGGGTTTTACCAAAAAAAAAAGGCAAGTGCGTGGGAGAGAGCAGAATGCGTGTCTGACGTGTTTCTCGTCCTCGATTTGCATTGCTGGACGCACCCCGCTTCTTTACAGTTGAACTCGCTATCTTCGTGTTCTTCTCCCCACAGCACACACACGAAGAAAAAGGACTAATTGGCAGCGCTCGCGACAATCCAAAAAAGATGGGGCGCGATGGAAGCACTCTCTTTCAGTCGGCGCTTTGATTGCTAAGTTCGCTGAAAGCCGTTTTGTTCTTGAAGTATCATCAGCAGGAGGCTCTGGTCGACTGCAATCCTTCGCCTCTCTCTTTCTCAACCCTTCGTTCTACACCTCTTGTTTTCCCTCATCATGCGATGTTCGTCTGCTGGTGGGTTGCCTTCTATCATCTAACGCATTACAGAGGTATTGATCCTTCCTTCGCGTAGTACTCCCACCGGTGTGCCGTTAGCAGTTTTAGAGAACACCTCTGTCCACTCCCCCCCCCCCCGACCTACTCTACACTA